CTCGGCGCGGCTCCGCCATCCCCACTGTTCTGGCCCTCGGCTTGCGCTCGAGCCGGCGCTCTCTTCTACGCCGCGCCGCGTGCCTGCCCGCCCTTCCTTTTGCACTCCGTAACTTTTCTGCCCTCCACCGTCCTCAGCCGTCTCCGCCGACGCCACCGTGAGTGCCGACCGTGGCCCCTTCCCCGCTACTATGTTCTGATGGGCTCCACCGCCATCGTCAGGGTCGCCGCGGCCGCCATGTTGGATCCCCCACATAAATAGAAGCAGGCCGCTGAGCGGGCGCATGCGCATAGAGGAGACGCTCGCGTTCACTGTCGTGGCTCTTGCTCAGTTTTGCTCTTTTCCTCCCAACAGTCTGGAATCCAGACAAGCCGGCGGAAGTGACGCCACGACACCGGCCTGTTTCCTTGGAAACAGAGACGCCGTATGCTCCTTTGCTCCGAGGGAGGAGTCTGGGGTTTCCTGAGGAGCTTTCCATTCGCACCCGGAAACTGAGGCGCGTTTGGGGTTCTCCTTGGGCCAGCGCCGGGCGTGCCTAGGACAGACCTAGCCATGGCGCCGATCCCGTCCGACACTGTACTGCCGCCCTCCGTGAGAGGTGGGGCTGTCAACTTAGTGTGCCAGGCGGACGACCCCCTACCCCGGTCGCTGTGCCTGCACCCTGTGCTCGGCAGCCCAAAGTATCTGGAAAGAAAGAGGTCAGCTCCGACCAGCCTCGCCCCCAAGGCTTCTCCCTAGACAGTTCCACACAGGCTCCCACGCGCCTGGCGGTCCCAGACCCACTCCTGCCTGCCGCGCCTGGCCACGGCCGGCACGGTGGTGAAAAGCTCGATAGCGCCGTACAATCGGAAGACCACGTGCACGCGAACAGCTGAAATCAAAACAATTCAAACTTGTGAGGAGGGCGTGGTGATACTTTAATGGACATAGTTGGGAACAGAATGCAAAGTGACCCATTTAAGGGTAGGGAGAAGTGTGGATCTGCCACACCTGTGGTAAAGTAATTGGAATTCAGATTTGTAAAGGTTGTGAATTCCTGTCTCTTTTAATTTGTTCAATAGAAAGTAGATTTGAGGGCCTCTCCACTTCCCCAAGGAAACCTAAACCTGTTAAATGCATTAACTGGATAATCAAGGGCGCTTCTAGTAATGTCAGACATTCTTAGCAAATTCAGTATTTTGCTCTTCTAACTTTCCAAACTGCACCAATATGGTGGAGTTGGTTATTCAAAAGGTCCCTTCTAGCTGTAAAATGCTATCATTTTTTTTTTCTTGGCATCATGTTTTACCTTCATTATCTCCTTTCCTACTGTTCCTCAGATTCCGATTAGACTCTCACTTTGGGCTGTGTCTGTAGCACTTAAGTGACAGAAAGAAATGCCCTCATATTCTACTCCTGCCAGTCTTGCAACGGAGCTAAATTAATGTTTCTAAAACACATTTTATTATGGCGTTCTCTAGTCTTACTACAGATTACCTACAAAGTAAGCTTTATACCTATATTCATATTCACTATCCTCCACAATTTAGCCTAGAAACTGCACACTAGCGTCCTGTGACAAACTGTTTAGCAGGTATTTGCCAACGTTGTCTTCCGCTAACTTCTAACTACTCAGTGTTTTTCTGACTTTTGGAACTACAACTTGCAGTAACAAATTAATTTTACATTGTAAGCCAGTGTACACACTTATACATACAGATACCCTTTCTGAAATACAAGTTTCACAATACTTTACTGTGTAAGATAGTGTAAAAAGCAAATAATATAATATGAAAACATGTTATGCTACATTGTAGTGAGTAATCTGTAAATAATACAGAAGCAAGCTAGGAAATATTTTAGTTAGTCCCATGCTTATAGATTTCTTTCAGAACCTGAGGAGCTGACACATAAACATTTGGCCTAGTGTCGAGCCTGATCTTTTATTTTATTTTTCAATGTATCAACGGTCAAAATCCCAATTTGGTATGATCCATACTTAGGTAGTTATGAATCACAATAATGTGTGTCCATGTTTTCTTAGCAATAAGTTCATCTGTAGTCTTCATCTGACCTGATAGCTAAACTTGTATGGCACTCTTTTTTCTGTATAAATGAAGTATTAGGCTCCAGTAATTTTTTCACAAAACACTATATTTAATGGAATCATTTATGCTTTTTAAATTAAAGAAAAAAAATTTTTGAGACAGGTCTTGCTATGTAGTTCAGGCTGGCCATGTAACTCACTATGTAACCCAGGCTGACCTCTCAAATGAGTCTTATATACATTTGTTATGAATTTAGTGTTTTAAGTTATTTTTTGTTTTTAGTGGTTTCTTACAATATTTTGCACTGCTGCCGTGCTTGTGCTTGTTGATCGTGTTTGCTCTTCCATTGCTTGAAATTCCATAATAAATTGTATAGTTTTCACTGACCTAGATGCTGTTTTCTAATTCTAAATATATTCTCTATGCATTATATATAATATTTCCTCAAGAAAATTGTCTTGCTGTATATATTGAGCATAACTGTCTTATGCAACTTGCAGAGACAGGCTTTAGTTCAGTGGTAATGAGTTGATATTCTATCACCAAGAAGTAGTTTTTTGTTATCAGCTGATTTGTTACCAAAAGCATAAGCACCCTCTCCATACTGGATGAAGTAATTTTTAAAACTTATTTTTAATACCAAAACATTTATCAGTACATTTTACGCATACAGAATGAGAACACTCATCACAGGGAATTTACATCTGTACATGATACATCCCCCCTATTTATTCACATTCCCCACTTCCCTAAAGTCCCCTCCCCTCCCCATGTACAAAAGCTTTGTTTCCATTTTTCCTTGTTTTCACTTATTTTCTTGTCCCTTCCTTCCTTTCTCCCTCCCTCCTCCCTTGTTCCTCTTCCCATTTGAACATTTTCTTCCCATTTCCCAGTATCTATTATACATTTTAGTCCTCATTTCCACTTTTGGTTTCTCACACCAGAGAGACAATGTGGCATTTAAACATGTCCAATTTATTTTACTTAAGAGTATGCTCTCAAGGTGCATCCATTTAGCTATAAATGTCTGAAGCTCTGGAGGAAGTAGTTTTTGAACAGTCTGAGTCATATTTCTTTCATCATACCAGTATTGCATTTAATGGAAAAGTTGTCTTTAAGATTTGTGGAAGTAGGGCCAGGGATTTAGCTCAGTGGTTCTGCCACCTGCCTCACAAGTGTAAGTTCTGAGTTCAATCCTCCATACAAAAAAAAAAAAAACAAAAACACTTGTGGAACTGTTACTGGGGTTGTAGGGTGTTGTGGTCTTCTTTCAGATTTTTAATTCTTGTCATGATCAAAGAATTAGTGAAGACACACACAAAAGGTATGGAGGTCTTACATGTTTTAAAGGTAGGATTTTGATAGAAATGAAACCATGAAATATGCTCTGCAGAGTGCAGGCCAATTAAAGTAGGAAAACAAGCCCACTGAGCAGGCCTCTCAGAACAGTGGCAACTAAGATTAATGGCTGTGGGTTTTGTATCCCCACCTTCTCAGGCTGAGGTCAGAGCTGAACCATCCTATGAAGAACCTGCTTGATCTAAGTGAAGATAGAATGCTCCGATTGGTCCCAGGTTCAGGGCTTGCAAAGTGCTTTTCTGCACGTTTCCTGGATATCCATGATTGACAGTTCACACCCACTTTCCTGCCAGCTGGTGAAGCCCTGATCCGCAGAGGGGAACAGAGAGATCATGTCAATAACTACCTCTTTTCTTAACATAATTGAGGGACTTGTTGACAATTTCATTCTCCTGTGTTTTCAGATTTTTTGTTTTGTTTTTCGTTTTTTGTACGAGGGATTGAACTTAGGACCTTGCCCTTTTGAGGCAGGTGCTGTGTCACTAAGCTAAATCCCTGGTCCTCAGATGTTTTTTTAATTTTGAAGCTAGTATGCTTTTATTTGCAAGAAATGTTCTTTTCTTTTTTTTTTCTTTTTTTTTGGTACCAGGATCGAACTCAGGACCTTGAGCTTTCAAGGCAGGCAGCAGCACCACTGAGCTAGATCCCTGGCCCCTTTTTCCTTTTTAAAATGAGCTATAAAGTCAACATTAATTGATTATGGACATTTTCTCATTATTTTCATTGTTTGCAGCTCTAGGTCCAGCAGCTAAATTTGAATGTGTTTCAGTATTTTTAACCTGCTTATTTTATTTATTGATTTATTGATTTATTTTTTGGTACCAGGGATTGAACTCTGACCCTTGCGCTTGCAAGGCAGATGGCAGAACCACTGAGCCAAACCCCTGGCCTTCACCTTCTTATTTAAGATGATGATGATGATGATGATGATGATGATGATGATGATGATGATGATGATGATGATGATGATTGATGATGATGATGATGATGATGATGGGGAAACAATCTCCTTGAGAGCAGGTTATTATTATTTTTTTGTACCAGGGATCAAACTCAGGACCTTTGCTTACAAGGCAGGCGCATTGCCATTGAGAGAAATTTATACTACTTTGTTGACCTACATACCATGTTAGTGACATCCTTTCCCCAAAACTAATTTAAAAGTTCTTCACTGGAAGTCCATTGAAAATTCTGGATTTTGTAAATCACCATATAAAATTCTCATGTACTTCATTCCATAAGTCATAAGGAGTTATGACAATATAAAATTAGGCTATACAATGTCTGTCTGATAAATAAACATAGAAATTCTCTGACCTGAGCTCTTCTCCTTGCCAATAGTTGAACTGTCAGCTGTCCTAGATAAGGATTAGTGTGGTGCATTCTGATACTTTCTATTACATTTAGTTGGTTTATTTTATTTTTTAAAATGCTGCTTGTGAGACTTAAAATTGATATCACAATCCTCCAGTTGCAATCACTCATTTGAAATAGATGGGCAACTTATCAGATACTGAATAGACAAGGAAAAAAATAGGACTAAGCCTACAGCCCATCCACCTTGTATTTCTTTTTTTTCCTTTTTCTTGTGTGTATGTGTATGTGTGTGTTTGTGTTTTGGAGACAGTGTCTTACTATGTAGCCCAGTCAAGCCTTGAATTTGCAGCAATTCTCCTGCTTCAGCTTTCTGAGTGCTGGAATTAAAAGTATATGCCTGGGGCCGGGGGTTTAGCTCAGTGGTTCCGCCACCTGCCTCACAAAGACAAGGATCTGAGTTCAATGCCAGGTACCAAAAAAAACAAAAAAGAAAAAAACAAGTATATGCCTCTATGCCTGGGTCTATCTAAACATTTCTGTGAGAATTTGGAAAATCCAATTGATTTTGTTGAATAAAGGGGA